GCGCGCACCCCACTTTGGAGACCACTGCTCTACAGAACACATCTGGACAGAGGACAGAAGCTGCCTGCAGGTACATCTACTCCCCGCACGTTTTTACTTCATATCATTTTCAGCTCACCCACCTGCAGGACATGCAAAGGTTTTCACCCCTTTCCTTTGGCATGAGCCAAACAAATGCTGCCAGCCTAATCCAACTACACCACCGCACCCCAAATCCAGGGCAACCTTGATGCTATGAAGAGGGGCCGCCAAGCATTTGTGCTCGATGCAAAAGCAACAGTAATGGGCGTCTCTCTGCAGCATCTCCTGCAGATTTTTTTTATATTAAATATATTTTGTGTTCCAAGTCAAATCAGTTCCAAATCATATTGTTCGAGCAGAACTTAATCATTCCAAAAATCTGTATTGGTTGAGCAGGCAGAACTCAATTGTTCCAAACACTACATGTGGTACTACAACCGGTGAGTATCCATCCCAGACTGCTGACCCCGGGACTTCAGATGCTCCCAAATCTATTGGTAGGCATCCTACGTGCAAGCCCAAGCCCAGAGGTCTTGGGATTCAGATGCCCCCATACTTGATCTTAGCCTCTCCTAAAGATGCCACCAGGAATAGGGAGTCTTGCCCTGCTTCAGGTGCTAGCAGAGAAGGCAGGAGCACTTGACAGCCTGGGCCAGCCACGGGGGAGTGCAAAGGGCAGGGGACACACACCAGCAGAGCTACAAAGGGGGTGGCACAGGGGTAGGAGGATGCGGGTCGGTGCTGACACCGGATCCCAAGGAGCAGGGCATTTCACAGGCGCTTGTCAGCCCAGCCCCAAACCTGGATTTGAATGACACTTTGACTTTTGGGGGGGTCTGCAAAAAAAATTAAACCAGGTCACTGGAAGAAGCAATCCCACCGGAGACCCCCAGGTTATGATTTTGAAATCTTAGGAGAGGGTTCTCATCTCTTGGGTAGGGGGGGCTCAGCCTCCCCAGCTCCCCTATAATTCAAACCCTGGTCCCAGCCCCAGGTCTGCCCCGACCCCAAGACCAGCCCCAGGCTCACCCCCGGGTGCGGCCTGCGGGTCCCGCAGCGCGGCCTTGAACTGGGCGCCCGTGAACTCGGGCTCGGCGCCCCGCGCTCGCTTGGCCCGAGG